ACTCCAAATGCTCCAGAGCGAGAGATCATAACCACTTTTGGTTTCTTTGTAAGTACAGAATTAGCTACCGTAGTGTATGCGTTGTTGCTTTGCAAAAGTCAAAATAATAGTGGCCAGAAGAGAAATCTGTTCAGTTTTTCCTTTTTTCCATTCTCATGTCCTTTGTAGCTTTCAACAAGTTTGCATAGCTTTTCATAGAGTTACCTTGATGTTTACTGGTAGCTAGTTCATTTTAGTTGGCTAAGAACTGTGCCTCACAGTTTCTGTTTTGTAAGGTTATTATTAATTTATTTAATAGATATAGGCCTATTCACATTATCTGTTTATTCTTGTTTGAGTTTAGTGGTTTGTGTCTTTCAAGGAATTGATTCATTTCATCTAGGTTATCAAATTTATGGATATAGAGTTGTTTATAATATTCCTTTATTATCCTTAATGTCCATGGATCAATAGTGATGGCCCCTCTCCATTTCTGATGTAATTCATTTGTGTCTTCTCCCTCTTAGTTAGCCTGGCTAGCAGTTTATCAATTTTATTGATTTTTTCAAAGAACTGGCTTTTGGTTTTATTGATTTTTCTCTAGTGATTTTCTGTTTGCAATTTCATTGATTTCTGCTCTAATTTTTTTATTGTTTCTTCTCATCTACTTACTTCAGATTTAATTTGCTCTTCTTTTTCTAGTTTCCTAAGATAGAAGCTTATATTATTGATTTTAGATCTTTCTCTTATATGTGCATTCAATGCTATAAATTTTCCCTCTAATCCCTGCTTTCACTCATCCTAAAATATTGATAATTTGTGTTTTTATTCTCATTTAATTCAAAATCTTTTAAATTTCTCCCAGGACTTGTTTCTTTTTTCTTGAGGACAATTAGCTCTGAGCTAACATCCTCTGCCAATCCTCCTCTTTTTGCTAAGGAAGAGTGGCCCTGAGCTGATATCTGTGCCCACCTTCCTGTATTTTGTATGTGGGATGCCTGCCACAGCATGGCTTGATAAACAGTGCATAGGTCTGCACCTGGGATCTGAAGCCTTGAACCCTGGGCCACCAAAGTGGAGTGCACAAACTTAACTGCTGCACCACCAGGCCGGCCCCTTTCCAGGATTTTTTTGGCCATGTGTTAATTAGAAGTGTGTTGTTTGAAAGTATTTTGGAAATTTCCCACTGTTTCTTTGTTACTGATTTCTAGTTTAACTCCATTGTGGTCTGAGAGCATACTTTTTATGATTTCTCTTTGTTAAGGTGTGGTTTATGGTCCAAAATGTGGTCTGAATGTTCCATGTGAGCTTGAGAAGAATGTGTATTCTGCAGTTGTGGGATTAAGTATTCTATACATATCAATTAGATCCAATTAATGGAGAGTGCTGTTCAGTTCAGCTATGTCCTTGCCAATTTTATACCTGCTGGATTTGTGGATTACTGATAGAGGAGTTTTAGGGTCTCCAACTGTAATGGTGGATTTATGTATTTCAAGATTATGTAATGAGTATTCTTTTCCCCTGATATACTGTGGAGAACACAAGATTATTCCCTTTTTATGAGATTCACTTCTTAGATTTATTGTTGCAGGAAGCTAATACAGTATATACATATGGTAATTGAATGGGGTAGTTCATAGGTTTCTTCTCAACTAAAAGACAGTGAATATATCTGAGTCATCTGCAAATATATTTAACAGGAAGTTATTTTAATTATAGATTTATTCAAATCAAAACTTTGATAATGTGTTCTATTTTGAATTCATTCTGGATTTAAATCTTTTTTCCTCTATCAATTTTATTTTTCAGTTATCTAATTTATGATTTCTATATTTGCTCCTTTTATACCTCATTTATTAAAGTTCCATGAAGTGTTATTTTGAAGTAATAGTTTTAATTTAAGGCAAAAAAGAGCAAAGTTTTAACATACTACACGTCTTATTTTATAATAAAGACTGTCATATATGATGAAATATAGAACAGAAGGTTATATGACTTCAAGGATCCTGTTGTATGCCCTTTTTGTTAGCTTCAACAGCTAAGACTTAGATTTCCTTCTTGATTAATGTATTTTTGGATACCTAAGTAAGCATAAATTGCATTGATTAGATAATATTTTTGTTTCTACCCTATCTACCTTTACTAAGGAGTAGTAAGGAATAAGTAAGGAATAAAAATGGCACATTCACAGATATTTACCAGACTTTTGTTAGTCTGCAAGGCACTTGGGGGAAGGGAGGTTTTTGGTTTGTTTGTAGGGTAATCTCAGGGGGAAATACTGGAACATCCTGGAAGAAAGACTGTTAGAACAAAGTATTGTTCTTTATCTCTAGGAGAGGATACATGTTCTTGTTCGTGAGATTCACAGCAACTATCAGTTTTCTGTATTTTCAGTTTTTGTTCTGTTCTGGTTATTGTTAGTGCCTTTGTAATAGAGATGGGTGGGTTTAATCCTGCCTTTATGTTTATAATTCTGTGAAATAAATGCTTAGGAAAACACAGAGTGTGAGAGTCATTTGTCAAAGATTGAAAAGATAAAGAGTAGGACTTAATTCTGCAGAGGGTAGGTCGTAGTGCTAGGTGCCTGCAAATGGAATTTATCAGTACTGTGTGTGCAAACCACTTTATTCCTCAAGAAATGACTTTTTAGCCAGATAGTGAATACAACTTCAATTGGAAGATCTTGATTTCTTCAACTGTGTACCATTAATAATTGGCAGTGTGATGTAGGACATTTTCTAGAAATGTGTCCATTTTCTACTTAGGTTTAATCTTTTTGGTAAAGTAATAAATTCTGTGCATGGAGTATGATTTACTAAGGGGATAAAATTAATTTAAGACTAATTCCAGTTCCATCATATATACTAGGAATCTATCTCTTTATTCATGTATTTTGAGAGGAGAAAGTATATTTCTATATTCATTTGATTTCAAATCCTTTTTCTTTATTAATTCACAGACTCTTGACAGTTTATTTATCTTCATTCATCACAGCATGAGTAAATATTTAAAATAGGGTTAAGGAAGTGACAAGTTTATAAGTCCCAGAAAAGAGTACAGCTTTTTAAAAAAAAGTATGAATGAGAAAAGTTAGATTTGTGACATTAAATAAACTAGGACTTTACTAAATGTCCTAAGTTTATACTTATGATAGCAGTTCATGGTTCCCTCACTGATAACTCCTACTCTCAGTGATGGTGATACAGTTAGATTATAACTGATCCTTTTTGTGAGCATGATTCAATTTCAGTTCCATCCAGGAAGTGTGTTTAATATGATAAAAGAAGAAGCTTTAAGAAATAAGTGTAAGATCAGTGTTAAGTAGAGGGATAGAAGGAATGCAGAGGAGTAGATAAGTCATATAATTTGAAAATTCTTGGCTAGGAGACTCCTGATTAGACTGGATGCCATGGGAAAAAGAAAGAAAATTAAAACTGGCCATTAAATATTAGTGGAGATGTTTTTCTGCTGGCCACAGAAAAGCAAGGTTGTGATTTTTTGTTTTCACTACCTAATTTTTTGTTTTATCTTTATTGAAAATTCTGTTCCTCTTAATTCAATGATCTTTAATGTTTTTATCTAGTACTGAAATTTGAAACTAATTTCAGAATAGTCATTCAAAGTGTACAAAGTAGTTGAGCTCTCAAAATGGAAGTATTTTAATATCAAAAATAAATAAGGAGACTCTTTAGGTATTATCGTTTAGTCCTTAGGGTAGTTGGTGAAAAATAATCAAGTAAAAGTAGTTTAATAATAGTAGCTCTCATTTACTATATATTGGGCTCTATACTCAGTCTTTTATATGCATGTCATTTCCTCATTTTATTTACATAAAAACCCTATTTGGTATTAGAGTTACCTTGATGTTTACTGGTGACTCATTCATTTTAGTTGGCTGAACAAGAGCCTTAAAACCCAGCTTGGGAGACTGAACTCTTTATGGGCCCTTTGGTTTAACTGTATTTTTTGGCCAGAACCTCTGCGTATAACTAATCGATCACAAGAGGAGTTTGTCATAGCTCAGGAGAATCAGCACGTATTTATGGCACCACCAGAGTTCACTATGTTATGGTTACTGTTTTGGGAATTATGTCATGATCTGAAAAAGCTGTAGCTGTTGTGTCAACCTGAGGAAACTTGTCTGTTTTTGTGGGCTTTTTGTAGTGTTTATCTGTCATATATGGCTTTCAAATTTAGCAGTATGCAAAAGACTTGTCTAGGCAATTACAAAAGATAAAGAAATTCCCTTAGGAATTTGGAATGTAGGAAAGTCATTAAGTTTTAGTCACAACTGCTACAGTATCAATCATAAAGAAGTAAGATAGAGAAGAGGCAAAAACTTTTTGAAAAACGTCATTTAAAAAGGCTGAAGTAGATGTGCCTGAGAAGGTACTGTTGATTAGATATGCTTTTAAGAATCTAAATATCTACTTTCTAGAGCTAGTTTTTCTTAGTACCTTAGGTTTTAAAATGTACTTCATATCTTTTTCTTGCTTCTTCTCCTCCTTTTTTATGATACAGATCATATAGTATGAGTATGTTTGTCGCCTTTGCCTAGAAGAAATTCTTCCAACATTGCCATTAGGATATGATGTTTGAGCTAAACTTTGATTTGGCATGGAGAATTGAAGTTAACCATTTTCTTTCTAACCTGCAAGGCATTCAGATTTTAGATGTTGTATTTGTTGCTAGCAAAGCATGTGATGTTTTGTATAGTGTTTCCTTTATAAACAACTATAATTCTATTTACTCAATCAAATTCTGTCTCTCTGAAACAGTCCATAAAATAAACCTTAAATTGTGAGCTAGTTGGATGTAGTGGTTAAACTCATTCACGTGTATTTCACTGTAGTTTCATACATATAAATCTCTTCGATTTTCAGCGTGGAGTGGGGAAAGAAATTCTGATTACGCTTCTCTTGCCCCATTTAAATTTCTCCAGTTTTTTTGTTTGTTTGTTTTGTTTTGGCTATCTTTCTCAACTGTCAGTGGAATTATTGTCTTCCTGTCTCCATATTCAGGTAGTGTCAGTGGCTGAGTATCACCGCAGGATCGATGCTCTAAATGCTGAAGAACTGCGCACACTCTGCAGACGTCTCCAGGTGCCCCCTTCAGTAGTTTAAACCCCTCCAGAGATTGAATACTCCCTGTTTTTAGTGTCATTCGTCAGGGCAAATCTCATTTTTGAAGGATTTGTTTTGACTGTAGCACTAAAATAATCCATCAGAAAATTCCTTTTTGTGTTAAAGAGTACAGTGTTGCCTTGAAGAGCTGTAGGATTATCTTTTCTGTCTTCTTTTCATTTGAAAAATATTCAGAGGAATTTTCTGTGACTTTAGAACTGTCCTCAGTAGTGTGTGTTTTCTTAGAGTGATGAGGAGTTTTCCTTTAATTTATATTGGAAGAAGGTCGTTAGGTTTGAGATCAAATCTTTACTAAACAGAATCTAAAGATGTGGTACTATGGGAAAATTTTCTGAATAGCAAGGCATAAATATTTTCTCTTCTTTAAGGGTATTTCAGTTTAATCATCCTCACCTCAAGTGTCTTAATGAGATAAATTGTTTTTGTTCTTGAGATATTCCTGGTTTGTATTAGAAATACTTTGGAATAGTATAAGTTAGGCACCAGAACTAGATAAATTATTTAAATTTCTGTAAAATAATCTTTGTGATCTTTTAGAAACAAGAAAGAGATACAATTGAATTTATTTTTCAGTTTTGTGTATTATTGTGTGTTTTCCTTTTCTTAATGAGATATGCTTTCATGGCTTTGCTAGAACTACTGAATTTTTTTCTTTTCTTTTAATGCTTCTCATGCTGCCTTGGACATTTTTTTAACCTTTCACATCATCAAAATAAGGGTAAAACATGGTGATGATGTGAAAAAATTAAAATAATTTAGCTTCTCATCAAAAAACAATACAGTTCTAGAACATGTATTGGTTGAAAATATGTGCTGTTTAGGTTTGGTAAGAAATCTGTTAAAGGAACAAACTAATTTAACAAGATTTATTCCTGCTGGAATCACAGTCGCCGAGCATTGCTGCATTTTAGTTATCTGCTCCGATAGAATTCTATTTTCTGATTTAAAAGTTTAATCAATAATAGTTGTGTGTCATATTTTTTATTTTCTAATGTTAATTGTTTTATATATTAAAATAAAATTAAAATGAGAAAGTGCCCACAGAATAGACTGTATCGGAGTTTATTTTGAGTTAATCAGTATTTTTATAATTTTAAGAATATCAGTGAGATCATTTCCATCAAGCAAAAGCATGTATTCTTTTTAATGCATCAAATTGATTTAATTTAAAAAATAGTTTTGTGAACAAATTTAACTTTTAAATTTATTGTTTGGTCCAACTAGATAAAAAAAGTGTTTAGAAAGTAAAGATAATGAAGATTTTTTAAAAGTAATGGTAAATTTTTCAATGAAGCAAGTAAATCCACATGCACACATGCACACCCAAATGAAAATTTATACTTATCGTATATTCTTTAAATTAAAATTTTGACACCCAGGAAGCTTTCTTAGTTATTTTTGGCAAATTTTATGTTTACCATGAAAAACAAATTCCGCATATTTTAAATAGCACAATAAAAAGCAAACTAGCTGTCTCACTTTTGCCCTTCGACAGCAAAATTAAAGTTTGCATGCAACTATCTTCTTTTACACAGAAATAAGGGGGTTTATCATTCATTGCCTGTCCCACCTCATGTTGTAGATGAGAAAAATGTCTGCGTATAGTTGAAAGACTTTTTCTGCACTGGATATATCATTGTTGTTAGATGGAGCATCTTTTCCCTTCTAAAATCCTAAATTAAAGTTTTAGGCACCTTTTCTAAGGAATGAAGTTTGATTTCTCTCAAAAGGCTGAAATTTTTGAAAGCATTTTGCAATTTTATGTTAATATACTGCTGCTGTTTTACTTCCTTAGATTACTACAAGGGAAGACATAAATTCAAAGCAGCTTGCTCCAGTGAAAGCAGACCTGGAGTCTGAATCTTTTCGACCAAACCTAAGTGATCCTAGTGAACTCTTACTGCCAGATCAAATTGAAAAGGTATGACATACCCACGTGTGTGCATTTCAGAGTATGTGCCCATGAGAGTAAAACAACCTCTTCAGTTGTTTTGAAAACTAAAGAAGCAGGGTTACTGCTACTACTCTTCCTCTCCCATTAAGAAAAAGTAAAAGAAATATAGCAGCTAGTATAATAGAGGATATTGGGAGATTTGGGTAAGCAGAATATTAAAATAAATAAGAGCAATTTAGATGCAACACTACAATAGCCAATATTTAATTTCTTATTGTGTGCCGGTTACTTGCTTAATGTGAATTATCTCATATAACTGTTACAACACCTGTAGGAGCTGGATACTCTTATTGTGTGCATTTTATTAGCAAAGAAACTTGGGCATAGAGAGGTTAAGTAACTTGTTCAAAGTCAAACAGCTATACAGTATTGAAGCTTGATTTCTAATTCTGGTAGTCTGACTCTAGAGCCCATTGTTTGTGAGGTTATTAATAATTAAGCTAACAGCCCATTCAATATTTTTGTTCAATACAGAGAGCACAAACAATAAGTAGTCCATGTTTCTTATCTCTGTTCTAATCTGTTTCTTGTTTGGCCTGATTCTTTCTTTTCCTAGTGGGTAATTAATACTTCATACTGAGAAATGTACAATTATTCTTCAGGCATCTCAGTATCTTTGAGAATGATAAGTAATTTCTACTGTTATTTTTGTAGCCTTCATTTTGTAGCATTTCATTAAATTCCAATTGGCAATAGTACCCTACAAATTGACAATAAGCTATCAAGTAAATGTTAACATTTTATTTTTTAAAGCTTACCAAGCATCTTCCACCAAGGACAATTGGCTATCCATGGACCCTTGTTTATGGGACTGGGAAGCATGGCACAAGCTTGAAGACCCTTTATCGAACAATGACAGGTTTAGACACCCCAGTGCTGATGGTGATTAAAGACAGTGATGGGCAGGTATGAAAAGTAACTATGTAGACAGTTTACCCTTTAAGAGATTGCAGTTACTTTTAGCATATTCTTTTGATGAAAATTATTTTCATTAGTACATTTTAAGTCTAACTGATAATTATTGAATACTTTTAATATGCAAAGCAATGCTGAGTGCTACAGAAGGTAGATATGAGCATGAATAATTAGAGTTCCAGCCTTCAAAGGGATGGTAGTCTGGTAGAAAAGAACATTTAAGTATACCAGTGTCTCTAATGCCAAGTAAAATATGCCACGTGTGCTAACAACCTAGAAGAAGCCAAAAGGCTGTTTAGATTAAGAGTTGTTCACATCTTTTTTGGGGAGAAAAGAATGAGATTCACAGCAAGGATGGACATTGACAGTCTTGAAGCGTAAGTAAAGTTTTGAAATTTGAAGATAATTGTGTGAGGATGATACCAAGACTAAAACCACAGATAAGCAAGAGAGACATTGGTTTGTTCCTGAAACAGCAAGTTTAAGTCAATTACCAGCACTGGAGAGTAATGAGAGGGTGAAATAGCAATATTAATTTATAAAACAAAACAAGACACTACTACTGCAACACCTTTCGCATGCTTATTATGCACACGTGACTAATCACTTTATCTGCATTATCTTATTTAATCATCAAAGCCCTGTGAGGTTGATACTTTAATCATCTCTGTTTTAAAGGTGAGTTACCTATGACTTAAGAGTTTCATCAACTTTCCCAAGGTTATACAACCAATAAAAAGTATTTGCAGCAATGAAAATGAATGAATTACTGCTATGTGCGATGACATAGATAAGTGTCACAAGCATAATATTGAGTGAAAAATGAGATACTAAAGAGTAACTTTCTTATGATTCCTTTTATAGCAAGTTCGTAAATGGGCAAAACAAACCTATGGTATTGTCAGGCCAGTGGCTTCCTTTGGGAAAGTGGGGGTGGTGGTGCAGAGGAGGCTCAAAGAGAGCTTGTGAAAGGAGTGTTGGTAATGTTCTGTTTCTTGGTCTAAATGAAGGGATAAATGGGACTTGACTTTGTGATAATTCCAAATTGAACTTGTACGTTTATATTTTATATATATATATATACCTTTCAATGAGAAAGTCTATTTTAAAAATTGACTGTAAAAATAGAATGTTAGGAGAGACAGTTAACTGTAGAGATCATCTGTCAGACTCTCTACATTCCCATTTTATGATGTGGAAATGGACCCAGAGCACTGAAATGACTTGTCCAGGTCTCTTATTCAATCGTTCTTCTTTTAGGGTATCCACTGTGTGTCTTGAACTGTGTACGGTCATGGCATTATAGGACCAAACAATTCAGATCCAAGGCCGACCATCATGGAGTTTACTATCTATTTTATATTCTTTTTCTTTTTCTTTTTCGGAGTTTACTGTCTAAGAAAAAGATAGCATACCTTTTTAGTATAGTCATGTGTTGTTTAACTACAGGGATACATTCTAAGAAATGTTTTGCTAAGTGATTTCGTCATTGTGTGAACATCATAGAGTGTACTGACACAAACCTAGATGGTGTAACTTAACTGCACACTTAGGCTGCGTGGTATTAATCTCATGGGACCACCGTTGTATATGCCATTCATCACTGACCAAAAAGTTGCATGCGTCACATTACCATAGTAGTGTACCTACACTGAAGGGATTTTGCTTCCCTAAGTGCTACAGTCCAATAGCAGCATGTTATCCTTATTGTACATACATTGTGCACATAAATCCTGCTGAAATGTGTGAGCCACTTTTTAAGATTGTCTGTTTAATTGTTATAATAAGCATCTTTGTAGATTAAACCTAGGAAAAAACTGTTTTTTCTCTATTGAGTAATTGATATGATTTGTACTTGACAGTAATGTGAATAATATAGAAACTCATCATGTTTCCCTTTTTAAGTACAAGTAGATAAAACTATACTAGATTTCTATCTTTTTGCATTTTACTTGAACATATAATGGAATAATGCTTACTGAAACAAATTAATAGTCGTGTCATTGAACATGCCTTTTTTTATCCTTAGGTTTTTGGTGCATTAGCATCTGAGCCATTTAAAGTGAGTGATGGTTTTTATGGTACAGGAGAGACCTTTGTCTTTACATTCTGTCCAGAGTTTGAGGTAAGGACAGTTATTCCAGTATTCAGTTTATAAAGAGATGGCATAATGAAAAGAACATGCACTTTGGAGTCATGCACACTTGCATTTGACTCTCTCTCTTTAGCACTTTTTTGGCCATTCTGAGCTTCCACTTTCCTGTGGATAGAATGGGGATCATAACATGTAACAAAGTTGTTTAAAAATTAAATGAGAATCATAGATGTGCAATACTTGGCATGGTGCCAGACTCACATCATGGACTCAATAAGGAGTATACGTTATTACTCCTATTCTGTTTATGAATTCTCATTGTGAAATTCCTACAAACTTTTAATGACTAAATAAGTTTAATGAAATAAGTAGGTCTTGAAAACTTAAAAAATAAATTATTTAAGTTTAAATGAGAAGTGATTACCAGGTTTCTTTTTCTTTATTGTGGCTTAACTAACTTGAATTGAATACATTCTAATGCGAGTAAGATCTAAAATGTAAAGATACACGTGAATTTTAGTGAATGTTTGACTTTGTTTAAAACATTGAGTGCAGTCCCACCATCTCAGGTACCTTAAGATTCAGCATGTCAAACCATTCATAAGAGATGAAGTTATAATCTTGAAAAATGGAATCAACAGAATTGGTTAAAAAAAGAGAGAATGATCTTTAGGAACATTTTCTATAATGAACAAAATAGAAAAGATTTGATAACACTAAAGAAGCTCTCTTAACAAACTTGGCTTAACTGGCTCACCAGGTTAACCAATGCTTTTCATTCCCTCTGTAAAATATATCAACTGATGCCTGTACAGCTAACTGGAAGCTTGTTACAATTTTTTTAAGCTTCAGTTGTACTTATTCTCAAACTTTTTTATGCTCTTTCTACCTGATAGCTATAATGGTGTAATGAATCAAATGTTCTGTAACTATGAAAAAGTGAGTGTTAAAGTTTATTTTACTGAAATGAAGTGAATACTCTGGGAAAACTTGATAAAGGTAAGTGCTAGAAATTGCAGTTGTATTAGGTTTAGGTAAAACTCCCATGAAAGGTTAGAAAAAAAGTATTTAAAAATATTAGTAACTAGAAGTTTTGCCCTCAGATTTCTCAAGTATTTTTATGTTCCTGCTGCTCTTTAAAGAAATTGAAACTGGAAATCATAAACCTGTTATGGACTTATATAAGAAGGATGATAGGCAAATCCATACCCAAAGAAAAGACTTGGCCCATCAAAATCTTAAAATATTATCAAATTAATGTACATTTATGTTTCATGTTAAAAGTTAATGGTGTCTTTTTAACTGATTTTTTACATTCTTCAGCTTTTTTCATTAACCATCCAACTCTTGATATCTATATAGTCAGAACAGAGAAGTATGTATGAAGAGATGATAAGATTTGAGGAATTGGAATTGAGGCTTATGTTGCAGTAGAGCATGTGCTGCTTTCACGTTTAGTCATACAAACGCTAAAACCCAAAGCACCAGACTCTTCTGCCCAAACTTTTTCTGTTCTTGTTGTTATTCTTCTTACTATCAATTTAGGCTTTGTTAACTGTTTGGGGTTTAGGAATACTAACTCTGTATATTGACCATTTTCATTTACATATTTAAAGATTTTGTTCATTTACGTAGGTCTTTAAGTGGACAGGAGATAATATGTTTTTTATCAAAGGAGACATGGATTCACTAGCTTTTGGTGGTGGAGGGTAAGTCTCTTGAACATTTTACCATGAGAATTTTAAAGAAATTTTAAAAGTTCATTTGTGTTATTTATAAAATCAGTTATCTTTGGAAAGTCTTGAAAGTAGAATCCTAATTTGTGTGTTATCACTAAGAAAATATAATATATTTGCAAAAAGATGCTTAAGTTTAGTATTTGAAACTATTGGCAGAATATTTGTTTTACTCATTTTAAACTGCTCTTTGCTTGATTCCCTTTTGATTAAAACTCATCCTTTTCTTTAGAGTACAGTGACTTGTTGGTATTTGAAAGAGAAATATACTAATACCTTAGAACTTCTCTAATTTTGAAAAACCACGGTGGTATGTTATTTCTCCCAATGTATGAAAAAAGTCCAGTTTTTTTTCATGACACTCTACTCAGGAGACTATTTGGGTTGATATTTTAGACAATACTAGAAATTTGTTTTCCTGCAAAAAATTTTAGTGACCTCCCAAGTTTTCAGGGTTTATTTTCTTGTTTATTTTGTTTTTAACAGTATGAGTTAATAATTTTATTTGATTCTTTTGGCAAAGCAAGCACTATGAGAAACTTTCTTATTCTTATTTGTTTCTTATATCTCAACTTCATTTAGTCTTTACGGCGTTTGGAGGTAGTTTGTTCTCCTGTCTCCAAGCCTAGACTTCTCAAATAGTGCTTAGCAAACATCAATTCCTTCGTTTGTTATTTCTCTTTATCCTTCAGGATCAGACATAAAGTATGCTAAATAATTCCCAAACCTATAAAAGCGTTATTTGTTTCCCACAGTTGAGAATATATAATAATAATTCATTCAGGCCACAGAATCATGTTAGCCTGTAAGAATATTCATCATCCTGAGTGACTCTAACAAATTCTCTTACAACTTCTCTGTAGATAGGTGTTTGGAGTCGTGATCAGTGATTAAAAAATAACCATGGTTATTATAGCCTTCTCTGAAGGACATAACCAGGTAACTAAAAACCATGTTATTTTTGGTTGTTGGAATCAGCACATAATGTTTATTTGTTCCAATTACACTTCTTTTTTGTGGTGAGGAAGAGGCAGTCATTCAGCCCTACTCCAAATGATAGTCTTACATGTGATTACCTTAGCTCTCCGGGCAGGCCTCACACCAAAGTGGCTTATAATTTCAAGCTGTTTTGGGTGACTTGAGTCTTTGAAAATAACATATACAATATCATTAGATGTCTTCTGGAGCTTGATTTTGATTCTACCTGATTCCAGCAAGCTAAACTAACCATTGGGTCGTTTGATAATAAGACAAGTTCAGTCTTTGAGAGAGGAGAGTACAGGCTGAAAAACAGGAGCTACAGGGACTTCATATTCCAGGATTCCAAACAGGAGCCCCAAAGAAATCAAAATCGTGATACGATGGACTGAATGTAGGCTTTGGAGTCAGACTTGATTCAGATTCCAGCTTCAATATATATTGTGGGACCTTGAGCAAACTCAAGTCTAAAGTTTTCTCAGCTGTGACTTGGAGATTGAATCCTTAACATTAACCCACATTTTATTTTAGATCATAATGGATTTTTCATGCCTCTGAGAAATTCATGTCAAATGTATTAAAACCATACAGCAAAGAGAAACCCATAAATCAGAGAAAGCATTAACAGGGAGTAGTGCCTATCTCAAAAGCTAATTCTATGTGAAGTTCATTTTATAGGATTCATTTTATTCCTAGGTCTGTATATTAAGTGATTTTTTAATGAGATATGAACAAGACAAAATTGCCTTGCGCCAGTGTGGAAAGAAGTGGGGAAGGGTTTGGAAAAATTAATGATTTTAGAGTTGTTGGATTTGAAATGTCTCATTTAAATTATTATTTCACAACCTCTGCAATTATTATTTTACAATTTGTGACATAAGTACTTAGAGATTATTGTTAAAACTGTTTTCTTTTATGTATTGCAGAGGAGAATTTGCCCTTTGGCTTGATGGAGATCTCTACCATGGAAGAAGCCATTCTTGTAAAACATTTGGGAATCGTACACTTTCTAAGAAGGAAGACTTCTTTATCCAAGACATTGAAATCTGGGCTTTTGAATAAATAGAATGCTGTCTTAGCAGGATGATGGCCCAAACCTGACATGGACAAGCATTGTTTGGAAAGTTCAAGAAGCAATACAATGTAACATGTCATTCGTGCTTTAAAATTAGTTGGTATCAGCATTTATTACAGCTATAATTTTGGAATTTATTTTTAAAATCATGTTTCTGTCCCAGAGTTGTTTAGGTTTAGACCACGGCATAGGTCCATGGAGTATAACAGCTTGAGTTTTGTCAGAATATTGGCAGCATTTTGATCATAGTGACCACCTCATCTACAATCCATGTTATCTCAAGTCTCCTAATAGGATGGTGCTCTTTTGTTGAACCTATTTTGGTTTATTATTTTTAAAACTATATTGATTGTTTTACTAGAGCAGTCTAATTGGGGCATTGAGGGAATGAAGACTAGATACTACTGTATATGTGAGGTTGGCGCAGGTGACCTTTGGATGTGCTCTACTTATTCTTATGAAGGAAAAAAATACATGCCAAAATAATGTATACTTTGTAGACTACTGAGTTCTAGTTTTAATTCACACTACAACATTCTCTTTATTAATTTTTCAGGTATTCTTAATTTCATTTTAATAAAAATGAAACTTGAGAATTCTGGTTGTAATAGACCACAACACACATGATCTACAGGTTTGGGCAAATGTTTTATCATTGAATTATCGGGTGAAGAGTTATAAAATGACACAGGAGAATGAGAACTTGGTGATTCTACTGAATTTAATATGTCAAGCAAGAAAATATACTATTTACATATTTGTAGCTTAGCAGGGCATTATCATAAGTATAAAAACTATGAAACAGATGCATATTTCTTCAACATATTGTGTCAGGTAACCTGTTTTATAGTTCTGTTGTTTTAGCCTTGTTACACACCAACTCCCAAAATATAGGTTCCTCTTCAAAAGGAAAAAAACTTGTGATTTTTTTTGAGTGGTATGTGTTATTAATTACCGTTAGCATTTGCTGTTATAAAAGGGCAGTGATTATAGTAGACAATATTGTAACTCAGTAGACTTGTTGCATATGCAAACTTACTGTCAAGTGACCTCAACAAAAAAAAAAGAAAAGCTAGAATATACTAGTAGTTCTTATCCTCTTTTGTAGGAGACCAATAATAAGCCATTGTGGCAATAATCCATCAATTTCAAAGCTTCATGTTATGCACACACAAAAAATCCTGCTGTTATACATGTGACAGTGACCTTGTGCTGAAATTTCAGCTATTCCAGATAAACATTGTATATTATCTTGTAAATTAATGTTTAAAGGTAGTTTTGTTCTTATAGAAAGTGTTGATTGCCAGGTTGCTTATAGCACTTTAAATTATTCTAAAAATGAATTATAAGCCAAATATGTTGGCTAAAGTAGTTTTAGTTGTATAGCACTTGAATATATTTAGACCTTTTGAAAGTTTAGATAATTATCTAAAGAAAGCATAATATTAATGGAAAAGAAAATCTGATGTTCTATTTAATATGCTATTGCTGAATATGAATAGAAATGCAGGGCATCACTTCCTTGTCTATGTAAAGTTTTCTCATTATAAGTTAGTAACAGTATATAGATTAAATGTTTACAATATAAGGAATTGTAAATAAACATATCAGTTTTCCCCCACCTCTGGTCTTCCACAGCAGTATTATTGTCTTTGTGGAGTTGACTAATCATTAAAAAAAAAAAAAAAATCCTGTATTGGATTTGAATTACAATAAAGTTATAGTTGTGTATACCAAATAAAATTAAATACATAAATACAAATTTGAGTTTGGACTTATTGAATAATCAAGTTATTTTCATATCTAAGAAGTCTTTGATCAAGCATACTATTATTTTTTATCTGTAAAAATGCTTCTAGTAGCCTTGGCAGTGGTGGTGGTGATGGTGGTGGTGGTAAGAGTGATAATAGTGATGGAAGGATGCATTCACATTGAGGGAAGTACCACAGTCTAAAAAATGGGGAGGCCAGCCCTGGTGCCCTAGTGGTTAAGTTTTGGCATGCTCCGCTTCAGTGGCCCGGATTTGGTTCCTGAGCATGGACTCACTCATCAGTGGCCATGCTGTGGTGGTGACTCACGTACGAAATAAAGGAAGATTGGCAACAGATGTTAGCTCAGAGCAAATCTTCCTCAGCAAAAAAAGAAAAAAAATGGGGAAATGAGAGGGTACTTGACATGTGGAGAAGTGCAAGTCATTTGATACTTTTAAATTAGGTTCTTTTTTTCATGGGGAGTGCATAGCAAGGTAAGACTAATGTTATGAAGAGCTTTGTTGTATGCAATGCCAAGAAATTTAGATTTGTTTTATCTCTTAGGAGCAATTAAGAAAACTTGAGTGGAGGAATGTCATGATCACATATGCACTTTAGGAAGATCTCTGTGAAAAATAGATTGGTAGAGAGAAAAACTAGAGACAAGGAGATCAATAAGTCTTTTGTAAAGTCCAGCAAAAAAATGCTGAGGCCTGAATAAGAGGAGCAGCAATGGTGATAGGAAGGAGGCATGGATTTAAAAGAGATTTAGGAATTAGGAATAACAGAGCTTGATTATTAACTGGATGTCAGAAAGAGTTAAGGATAGCTCTCAGTTAAGGATACGTAGGAACTGAGCGTATTATTCATCAAGATGCATGATGTACAAAGAGAGAAACAAGTAGCAGATGGAGAAATTAAGTTAGTTATGGACCTTATTATAGTATGATGTGAGAAATTGGAGAATAGATTGTTGTGGGGGGCATTTAATATTCTCTTCTGATAAAAAGATTTTTAAATCAACAGCATACAGTTAGATATTGAAGCCATAACCTATGAATGAAATGCCCTTTGAGATTATAGACTGATTAAAAAGAGAGGATTTTTGACATAAATTTTGGGGGTATAGTATTATTAAGTGACAGGAAGAAGAAAAGGCTCTAAGCTTCCATCTCAAGAAGTAGAAGAAGAACAGTAAATTAAACTTAATGAAAACAGAAGGCAGGACAAAATAAAGAAATCAATAAAATTTAAAAGTATACCAAACAGAAAATCTGAGAATAATAAAATTGTAAACCTCTAGTGAGATCAAGAAAAATAAAGTCAAATTACCATTGTTAAGAATGTAAAAGTAGACATCATACAGAGCCTGTAGACCTTAGAGATGGGATATTGGAAGAACTTGCATCAATAAACTTGACAATGTAAGTTAAATGTAAAAAAACGTTTTGGAAGACAAAATTTATTAAACCTGACTCAAGAAAATAGATAATTTTTTTGTTGCCGAAATTGAATCTGTTAATTAAAAAAAAAAAAAAAAAGCTTCCCACAAGAATCTCAGGCCCTTATGGTTCCACTGACTAATTTTTTTAAGTAAAATTTAAAAACTTAATTTTTAAAAATTTTTTAAGGAAGAAAGTATCAGTCTTAGATGAACTCTTCCAGGGTACTGAGAAAAGGGAAAACTTCTGATACTACTTTTTGAGGCTAGCATGACCTTGATACGAAATCTTTACAAAAAATAAAATTACAGAACAGTCTCATATGAACATAGATACAAAATTTCTACCTAAAATAATCACAAATCAAATTCAGCAATATATAAAAGAGTAATATAACCAAATAGGATTTATTTCAGGAAAGAGTAAACATTTTTAAATTGATGCCATTTACCACACTTACAGAAAAAAGGAAAAATTTCATGATCATCTCTATAGAAGCAAAAGAAGCATTTAATTTCAATGCCTGTTTATGATTAAAACTCTTAGCAAACTAGGAAGGAAGGAATCTTCCTTATTCTGACAAAAATTATTCTTGAAAAATGTACAGGAAGCATCATCTTTACTGGCAAATTATTGCAAGTTTTCTCCCAGAGATAGGAAACCTGACAATGATAACTGCTCTTATCATTTTTATTCAGCCTTGTTCTGGAAGTTCCAACCACTGCAATAAAGCAAGAAAAAGAAAATCATAAGGATTGGGATGGGAGAACATTAAGTGTCATTTGTGTATGATATGATTGTGAACGTAGAAAATTACAAAATGATCTAACTGTTAGAGTTAGTTGATTTAGCAAGGTCACTAAATACAAGTTCAATATAAAAAAAAAACTTTTCAATTTTATGTACAACCAACAATTAGAAAATGAAGCTTAAAATATTACCATTTGTAATACCATTGAAAATATCAGATTTACAACAAAAAGAAAAAGACCTAAGTAGGAAGGATATACCATGTTCATGATTGGAAAACAATATTGAAACATGTCAGTTCTCTAAAATCAGTCTCTATTGGCAGTGAAAATCTCAGCCAGGTTTATTTTTGTGGAAATTAAGCTGATTCTATAATTTATATGGAAATGTAAAGGCAAAGAATACCTAGGGCAACATTGAAGAATGAGGCTGTGCCCTTAAATACCAGATGTAATGATTTTTTAAAAAGCTGACTAAGAAAGACAATGTGGTATTGGTCAAAGGATATACAAAGGAATGGATCAAAGTCAAGAGTCCAGAAACGAACTGATTTTTTGAAAAGATGGCAGTGCTACTCAGTGGAGAGGGTGATCTTTTCAATAAATGGTGCTGGATTAATTGGATGAATGTATGGAACAAAAAATCTTGACTTCTCACACCACATACAAAAAATAATTACAGATCCAAATGTGAAAGGTAAAACAATAAAGCTATTCATTTTAAAAATATGGAATATCTTCATGACCTTGGGATATGCATTCCTTTCTTAAATGGAACACAAAAAGACTATAAAGAAAAAAATGATAAATTATACTACATTAAAATTTTAAGAGCTTTTTATGAGAAGATATCATTAAAAGTGAAAAGGCAAGCAACAGAATGGGGGGGGGGTTTGTAATACACAGGTCTAATGAAGGTCTCTAATGAAGGTCACATAACTATAAATCGAAGTTCAACAGAAGAACAGGCAGAAGACTGGCAATTTCTAACAGTATTAAGTCAATAAAAGTTATTTTAAAAGGGAATGTAAGTGGAATAACTTTGGAAAGCTTTTTTGGCAGCATCTACTAAAGCTAAGCCTTTGGCCAGCAAATTTAACTCCTTGGTATATACCCAACAGCAATGTGTACATTTGTTTACCAAGAGATAGGTACTAGACTGTTTACAGAACTGTTGACTTTCATTCTCCTCTCCCCACCAGCTCCTCCTCCCCGCACACTCACTCATTCACCTTTATTTTACTGAATATAATTCTGTTAAATTTTACAAATTGGCATGCATCTCTTAAGAACAAGGATATCCTTTTATATAATCACAGTACAATAATCAAATTCAGGAAACGTAACATAATACAATAATATGATTTAATATGCAATCCATTTTCAAATCTCACCAGTAGTGCTAAAAATACCCTTTTATAAAAAAAATCATTGAGGTCATGTTGTCTTATAACATTGTGTAAATTTCAGGTGCACATTATTATATACAGTTTCTGTATAGACTGTATCATGTTCATCACCAGTAGTCTAGTTTTTCCCCATCAACATATATATGTGCCCCTTTACCCCTTTTGCCCTCCCTCCACCCCATTCCTCTCTGGTAACCACTAGTCTGTTCTCCTTATCCATATGCTTATTTATCTTCCATATATGAGTGAAATTTTTTGTCTTTCTCTGTTGGGCTTATTTCACTTAGTATAATACCCTCAAGCTCCCTCCATACTGTTGCAAATGGCACAATTTTGTCTTTTTTTAATGGCTGAATAGTATTCCATTGTGTATATATACCACATCTTTATCCATTCATCCGTTGATGGACACCTGGATTGCTTCCACACTTTGGCTATTATGAATAATGCTTCAATGAACATAGGGATGCAGAATCTCTGAATTGTTGATTTCATGTTCTTTGGATAATACCCAATAGTGGGATAGCTGGATCATATAGTATTTCTATTTTTAATTTTTTGAGAAATCTTCGTACTGTTTTCCATAGTGCCTGCACCAGTTTGCATTCCCACCAGTAGTGTATTAGAGTTCCCTTTTCTCCACATCTTCTCCAACATTTGTTATTTTTTGTCTTGATAATTATAGCCATTCTGACAGGTTTAAGGTGATATCTCATTGTAGTTCCCTTTGCCTTGCAGAGCTTTTTAGTCCAATATAGTCCCATTTGTATATTTTTCCTTTTGTTTCCACTGCCTGAATAGACATGGTATTCAAAAAGGTACTGCTAAGGTCAATGTCTTCTAGGAGTCTTATGGTTTCAGGTCTTACATTCAAGCCTTTAATGCATTTTGAGTTAATTTTTGTGTATTATGTAAGATAATGGTCTACTTTAATTCTTTTGCACGTGGCTGTCCAGTTTTTCTCTTTTTTTATTGAAGAGACTTTCCTTTCAACATAGTACTGGAAGTTTTGGCCAGAGCAGTCAGGCAAGAAAAGGAAATAAAAGGGATCCAAATTGGAAAGGAAGAAGTAAAACTCTCACTGTTTGCAGATGACATGATTCTGTATATAGAAAAACCTAAAGAATCCACCAGAAAACTATTAAAAATAATCAACTACAGCAAAGTTGCAGCGTACAAAATCAACATACAAAAATCAATTGCATTTCTATACACTAATAATGAACTAGCAGAAAGAGAAGTCAAGAATGCAATACCATTTACAATCACAACAATAAAATATCTGGAATAAATTTAACCAAGGAGGTGAAAGACCTATACACTGAAAACTATAAGATGATATTGAAAGAAGTCAAAGCAGACGTAAAGAAATGTAAAGATAGTCCATGCTCTTGGATTGGAAAAATA